AAATGCCGCACGACTTGAGACTATCGGCGGCGAACTGTGCGATCGTACGGCCCCTGATGTTCACCAATTGAATGCTCTCCTGATATATGGCTAACAAAGTGGTCGTTTGGTGTTTGTTCTCCACTCTTATACGTCGGATGCAGTCTTTGATGAGATTGGCGTCGATATGACTGTCCACCGGTGTCTCAATGGTACCCAAATAGCCCACTATTGCACGTAATATGGCCCGCGAGTGCAGATCCTCTTTATCACCTGCACCACCGCTACAGAGACCACCGTTTGTCGTCGACTCGCTATACATCTTCTCCGACTAAACATCAAAATACAAAATAAAAGTTTTGTTTCATTGAAACCCAAAACACAGAAACCTATTAATAGCTCATTGAAAAAACAATCAATCAATCAATGGATGGGAAAAGTTTGTCACAAAAAACTATTTATAAAGAAATCATTATATATTTTGAATGCAAATGAATGCAAATCTAATCCAATAGTGAATTGAGCTCTAAATAGTGTACAAGAGATTAACTATTGACTGATCATTATAATAGATAACACATTTAAATGAATACTTAAATACTGGAATTAAATACTACTGTAATAGTAAACCAATGGGCAAATCGTTGAACTCCTCTCTTCAATGCCTATGACTGACCCATAAATGCAAATCAAAGTGTATTTAATATTTGGTTCAATAATGTGGTAATAATAATCAAAATCAGATTCTCATGTTTCTCTTAAATACTGCCTTAAGTAATAAAATGTGTTTTCAATTAAATACTTGTTTAAGACTTTCTATTCATTGCCTATAATTGATGTCTAAATATAGCGACAAGTTTTCAAACAAAAAATCAATAAAACAAATCCTAAATAATCACTAATTACTTAATCGGTTGCCACTATTCATAGAAACACTGCACACCTCCTCTACCCTAACCCCCAGTCCACCCATGGATCGGATACCTGATCCAAAAATCACACACAAAAATGCCTTAAAATCCAAACAGTACTTACAGTCAATGTGCGGCTCATCGTATCGACGGTGGTATCGCTGGTCGTACGCCTAATGGCGGCGCTCACCCTATCGTCCGGCGCTGTCATATCATCACTGATGGCACTGGACTTCCGGTTCAGAAGGGGTTTACTATTGGTAGCGCTATTATAGTTGTATTTCTTTGTCAACGAATTAGTTTTGTATGAATTGTTTGAATCGCTTTCACTTAATGTGCACTTTATTTGCGATAACTTTTGCTCCAGAAGTAAATCAATCAGCGGTTCGTTACTCTTGGAGTGAATGCCAAACGGGGGCCGAACGGATCGGCCGGGCGTGTGATGTATGTGCGGCGGGAGTCGACTATTGCGTGGCGTCGCGTCCATCAGCGGCGGTACGCGATTCTGGCCAACAGTGGTTAATACGTTATCGCCGTACACTTCGGCCGCCGTGTTGTACATCTTGTGACCAGTGTTGCGGTGATGGCGTGCGGGCTGTTCGCGTCGGTGGCGGTGGTGTTGGTATCGTTGTGTGGCCGACGACGACGAGCACTGGGACTGCGGCCGCCGTGGCTTACGGGGCGCTGTAGTGGCCACGCG